CTGCTGGAGAGCAGGTCTGCATCTGCCGGTGCCCTTTCCCAGAACCACATGCAGTGAGAAGGGTGCCCAGCACCAGCACCAGAGCCTGCCTGCTCTGTGTTTGTTGAGCGAATGGGTGAAGCATGTACACAGACTGTTTCCCTGTGTACCTGGCCTCTCCTCACCTCTCTGGGCCTCAGTTTCCCATCTGTACTACAAGGGTGGGCTTTGGGAGTCCCAGAGAGGGCTCTTCCAGACACAGGGCCCCAGATGCAGCAAGGGGAGAGAAGGGCCAGTGCCCAGCTTGGTGTGAAGCGCCAGGCAAGCACTGGACTCCAGGGTGTGGGCAGGGCAGGGCAGCGCTGTTGAGGGAGAAGTGTCACAGCCCTCACGTTCCTAGACGTCCCATTGTCACCTGGGGGCCGTTTCTGAGCCAGGCCGTTGGTCCAGACCTCGGGTTGGGGGCATCCAGAATGATGGCACCGACTGCCAAGCCCCACTCCCCTTCCACCCCCAGGAAACAGATGGCCCAAGCTTGGGCGGGCGGCAGAGACGGGGACTGGCATTTGTGTGTGTGTGTGGTTTTTAAAAAATCTGACACATTTTTGTCACGTCTTGGTGCATCAGAACAGTAAAGGAGGCGGGAGTGTGAAGAATGTTTTAACTCGCAACTTTGTAACAGTTCCAGTTTCTCCCGGCCTCCTCCCCCTCCCTCAAGCCCCCGCGGCGGAGCCTCCAAGCCCATCTGTTCCCGAATCTCTACTCCCTGCCCCCCTACATCCATCCCTCCTTCCTTCAGTTGACGGGGAGAGATCCTCAGAGAGGACCCTAGGTAGGGAGGTGGGGGACCCACCTGCTTCTGGCCCCGCTTTACCCCAGGCTTGCCTTGTGATCATGTAGAGCGTTCACCCTCTCCGGCCCCATCTGTGTGCTCCTAGGGGTCAAGCCTGTCCCCTGTGGGGTTCCCTGATTCTGATCGTCATGGGAATGTCTGGGGAGAACGGTTTGAAATGGAGAATGTGCAGGAGGGATCAGGATGGGGAGTTTGGGGATTCAGCGCACCCGGAGACAATGGCCCCACGTGCTGGAGGAGCCACGCTGAGTGGGCCCCAGCCATCACTGCCCTCGGGCGTGGGGCTTGCATTCCCCACCCCCAGCCCCGGCTCCACCTATCTTACCCAGGGTGGCTCTTTGAAGATTCACCATGGCTGACTGAGGTCTAAGCAGCTACTCTGAGGTCCAGGAAGGGAGGAGGAACCAGGCAGTACCAGGGACCCGGGCATCCCTGTCTGTCTGTCTGAGCCCTAGGAAAAGAGCAGGATGAGTATCAAGCCTTAGAAAATTTGCTCCTCAGCTCCCATCCCTGAGGTCCCCAAGCCTGCCTGGTACCAGTTTCTATTTCATATGTCACGGAGATGTCAGCTGTCTTCAAAAACCAGGAGTCCACACAGCTGGTAGGAGCTGCCCTGGGTGGGCATAGGGAGAGTTTAGGGGAATGAGGGCCAGTATTCTGGGGTAGCTCAGCCAAGGCCAGGGCTCAAGCCTTGCTCCCTCACTCCACAGCTCAGCGACCAGGACTGCTGGGCACCTGTGCAGTAGCTTGGAATGGGGTGGGGCTGGCAGCCAGCGTGCCACTGCCAGGGACAAAGACACCAGCTCCTGGCTGCGCTCCTGTTTCCCCCATCCCTCCACACCTAAGATGGAAGTCCCAAAGTCCAGGGCATGTGTCAAGGACAAAGGCAGAGGGAAGTGGGGGCAGAGGGTGCCTAACCCACTTTTCCCTACCAGTGGGAGCACAGTTCAAAGGCTGCCCCAGAGTGCTGCTGACCACAGAAAGCCCCCCACTGAGGTTGGGGCAGCTCCTGAATGTCATCCCACATCTCTGCACCCTGGGAGGGCTGATCACGGGCCTGGGAGTCCCTGCAGGAGATGGTCTTGTGTGCCCAGGAGGGTGAGCTCTGGACAGGGCAGCTGAGGGAACCCACACGGCCCTCATTGCAGCCAAGCCCCAGACCCAGGGCCCCACTGAGCCGGTGCCACGCGCCTCACCATATGGGCACAGGGCGGCTGCGGGGGGAGGAGCTGGAGTTGCCATGAGAACCTGCGCGCTGGCATTTCCTCTTTTGGGGAGGTTGAACCGCACTTCGCAGGCGGTGTAGGCTTCAGAATCCCATTTCTCTGTGTTTTTTAGGAAGGGAAAAAGGGCAGGGGAAGGGGGTGGAAAAAGGCAAGGAGGGAGAGAGAGAGAGAGAGTCAGACAGAGGGAGCAAGAGGGAGGCACAGAGCTGTCTGGGGCTGCGAGGGTTGATCAGGGACCTCTGCTCCCCAGAGCTCAGTTCAGGGCCGAAGTGGGGTCTAGAGTTCCCTCTGATTCAGTGTCCAGGCCTTGGGCAAACCTCTTCCTTAAACACACAGCCCTGCAACCTGCCTGAGATTCGAGTCAACCCTTCGGACTATTTCTGGGTTCCTTACAGTCACCCCTGTCCCCTGAGTGCCCCACAGAGAGGGTGGCCACACTGGAAGCAGCAGAGGGCAGAGGACACAGGCCCTGCTCCCAGGGCCCCAGCAGGGGCGGGAGTCCACCCTAACCCGAGTCCACTGGGCTTTGGTAGCTCAGCAGTGGAACTCCACGTGGCCGGGGCAGATGTGGAAGGCTGCTTGGAGAACAGGAAACTACACAGGTGACCAATGGAGAGGAGAAGGCTGGGAGGATGTGAGGAGCTGGCAGGAGAGGGTGGCATCACCCATCAGCCCCACCTGTCTTGCCAGGGGCTGGGGCTGGGTGTTTGAGAACACAGGCTCAGGGGCAGACAGACCTGGGTGTGACTCTGGCTCCATCTCTTCATACTTCTGGCAAATGAACCTACTTAGGTCTCAGTTTCTCTAGCCTGTAAGATGGGGATGGTGGCACCTACCTTGAAGGTTTCCTGTGGTGTGCAGCTGGTGGGGAGGCCAGAGTGGCTGTCCTTGAATGGCAGCTGCTATTGGTGTGGTCACTAAGGCCATGGTCGCTGGCATCTGCTGGGGACATAGGGAGGAGCGAATAGACACGTTCCAGATCCTAGAGGAGTGCCCACCCTGAGCAGAGGTGTGGCGGTGGGACCCAGCATGGCCATGTTCGGGAGGTGGCATTGTAGAGGGGCTATCCTGGCAGAGGAGAGGGTGGGATGGGAGGGAGAAGGCTATGAATGACAGTAGGCAGTCAGGGGCTGGGGCCGAACCATCCCGGGCCCCACCCAGGCCACATGGGCAGCTAAACTGGCCCCACGGAATCTCTAGCTCTTCTCCAGCTCCTCTTCCTGGAACCTCACCTACTGCGTCTGGCGCAACCAGCCCTCCTTCCAGGAAGTCCCCTCCAGACCTGCCGTGAAGGGAGGCCAGCACTGTGACACTGCCCTCAGAGCTTCCTCAGAGTGTGACCCTCTGGACTGCCATTTCCCAGTTACAAATGGGGTTACAGGTGGCTGTTCTTCCCTCCCCTGGGGGCTGAGTCAGCACCCATGAGATGAACGGGCAAGCCTCCCTTAGGGTGCGTCTAGGGAAAGCAGGAGTGAAGTCTGGCTGTATGCCCTTGAGCAGAGAGGGAAGGGGTGGGTAGAGCATCGGGGCCACCTCGGCTCTGGCTGGTGCCTCCAATAGCAACAGAGCTCAAGTACTGAGTCCTACTCTGTGCCAAGATCTTCACATCTCATTTCATTTTTACAATAACCAGGGAGTATCATTATTTCCATTTGACACCGGATGAGAGAACTGAGGCTCAGAAAAGGACAGGAACTCACCCAGGATCACTCGGCTAGTGGCTGCAGGGCCAGGGTTAGAACCCAGCACTGTCCAGCCCCAGAGCCCTTTCCATGACCTCTCCAGGTCTTTTCCCCTGCCTCCCTCCACCTCTCACACACTGAAGACCCCATCCAGCATCTCCAGTGGGCCACAGTGAGGATTCCAAAGGCACTGTGCTCAGTGAGGGGTTGAAAATCGGGAGGAATAGGTGCTGAGACCCCAGCCTCAATCCCCGCCGGCTGGGCTATCACCATACCTAGCCAGCCTGAGGCAGCCCCAGGACCCCTCTGCTGAGGAAAGAGCATGGTCCTAGCATCTGATGGATTAAGACTGACATAACTCTGCCGCCCACTCACCCTGGTTCCCCCAGCAAGTTGCTGGACCTTCCTGAGCCTCCCTTTCATTATCCAGAAAATAGTGGCACTGGAGCAGTTAGGCGAGGCTAGGTTTTGCTGCAGTAACAAACAACCTCAAAATCTCACAGATTTCAAACAACTCACAGTCATTTTTCACCCCCATTCCAAGCATGGGATATCCACTCCTCGTTGTCACTGAGGACCCCAGGCTGAGGAAGTGCCTACCATCTTGACCTGTGCATCCAGTTACCCGGGTAGCAAGAAGAGGCATGGCCAAGGGCACTCTGGGTCTTAAAGCCCTCCCTTGTAAGTGACACTTGTAACTTCCACTAACACGTCATTTGCCAAAGCAAGTCCCATGGCCATACCTAATGTTGAAGGTGAAGGAGAACGGCCGTTCCATATGGAGTGCCAAAGGGAAAGAAAATTGGTATAGTAGTTCACATTCCTTCATGATCACCACAGGCAGCCAGCACGCAGGGACGCTGCGAACATTCAGTGAGTGAAAGGGAACAGGACCTGTGCACACGGAAGGTGCCTAATAAATGTTACTCTTTTCCCCTCCACCCCCAGCTCCAAGGAGATACAACCTCCCTTCCTTTCCGAGCCATCTCTTTCAGATGGACTGTTAGGGTTGATGGGCACTCCCTACCTTGAGCAGGAAGACTTTTGCTTCTGGGGTAGAGACAAGTAGCAGCTTCCCCAGGGGCACATGGTAGGGTGGCAGCTAAGGCAGGAAGCACAGATGGACACACTCACTCCCAGCTAAGCAACCTGTCTCCAGCCCAGTGCCTGGCTTAACAGGTGAAAAAGCAGCAGATACCCGTAATCCCTTGACTTTATTAAGGGCTTCATAAGATCGAGATCAAATTACATCTCCTGCAATCGAACAGTTAATTCACTTCCACTCAACAAATGTTCCATTCAATACCAAGAGGGCCTGGGGTGGTCTGGATGGCCCACCAGGCTAGGGATGCCCCTGTCACTCAGCAACTTCCCTTGTTTCTCGGGAAGCCACCATCCTCCCTGGCTGGGGACCACAGGTCTGCCCTAGAGTCTCAGGTCAGTTCAAGATGAGTAGCCAAAGCCTGGTGGGGAGAGGACAGCAGGCAGGAACAGTGACTAAGGACTTTGGGGTCATTGGAATCCAGAGCCACCTTAACTGTCAACCTTGAGTCCAAAACCACAAGGCTGTGTGACCTTGGGCAAGCCACTTTTCCTCTCTGGGCCTCAATCTCCCCAAATTAAAGGGTTGGGCTGGGTCCCTGTCCCCACCTTTGACATTGGGGTTCTGAGAGCTTCTTTGCCAACCTGGATTTCCCCCTCCCCAATGTGAGGTGGCTCAAGTCGGAGGCCTGATCCATCCGCCCTGTGTCATCCCACACCCACTGGGCTGGGCCCTGAGGTCCAACCATGTACTGCCCGGCAATAGCTCGCAGTTGGGGAAGGAGACAGACAAAAGCCAGTTGGGGCGACAGAGGCACACTCCTTCCAGGAAGGTTCATTGGTCACCAGCCATGGCACAGCCCAGATAGGCTGTAGGTTAAGCCCAGTTTCCTTCCCTCCTTCCCCAGTGTGCCAGCCATTGACATCACTGGGCTGGAAAAATCCAGGAGGACTTCCTGGTGATGGAGGAGTGGAAGCTGCACTCTGATTCACTTAGCTGGGCAGAGATGGGAGCAGGTTCCAGGTGGAGAACAGCAGGAGCAACAGCTTAGAGGTAGGGTACGTCTGGAGTAGGTGTGAGTGACAGACATCATCTGGAGTATATATTGATACAGGGAAATGTGATTTCCATGTTCTAGCAGCGCGTGCACACACACACACACACACACACACTCCTTCCCCAGCTGCAGCTGTAGGTAAGAGATGTTGGAGTTGCTCAGGAAGACGGAAGAGCTGTCAGTCAAAATTTCATAGTGCAGAGAAGGGATGCCCCTGGAAGCCCCAGAAACGCTTCCAAGTCCCCGGGGACTCCCAGAAAGGAACCCCCTTCTATCCATTGAATCAATAATAGCAGCAAGAATAGTAGTAACTCTTTTTGTCACGTTATTGTTAATGAGGCACTTCGGTATCCGTCATCTTATTCGATCCCTATAGTGGCCCTGTGAGGCATGCTCTATCCCATTGATTCTTTGATTCAGAGAGAAGGCAAAAGATCTTGCCAAAGACGGTGGGTCCACAGTGTGCCCTTGCACTGTTTAACTCTGTGGTCTATTCATGCCTGCTTTTCAGGAGTCCCTTGGACCTTCGTAGGGTGGTAGCATCTGCTCGGAGAGTGGATGGAACAGGACTCTGGCATGAATGGGATGTAGATTCTGGATGTTCCACTCTGTGGCCTTTCTTGACTTCTCCAGAGTTTGAGACATGGCTCAACCTCAGTCCACAGTCCCCAAGGGCCTGGCCAAACTCAGAGACCCAAAACCCCAAACCTTAAGAGCACTAAATCCCCAATTCCTCTAGAGCCCCTTTCCCTTGAAACAAGGGCAAAAGCAGCTAGTTCAACAGGTAAAGGGGTCAGGCACACACTGCCCCAGACTGTGATGTCTTCACTTGCTGGAGCTCTCATTGATCAAGCACCCTTGAGTTTGTATGAGCTTGTTCTTCATTTGAAGCTGTTTGGAAAGTGTGATTTCAAGGACTTCAAACTGTGAGGCTAGCTTCACATACTTCGGAATCGTTGCCTATTCATTCAGAGCATGACTTAAGGAACTCTGAACACCTAGGTCCAATGTAGCGCCCTCTAGGTAGAAATTGACTGTGATCAGCCACTATGCGATACAAATTGAGGCTTTTGTCATTTGACCAGAAGGAACCGCTACCACTTTTTCCAGATGTGTGTTGCCAGAAGCTCTGGGTATGCCCTGGGCCACCTGGTGTTAAGATTCTCCGGCCTCCTAGGCCAGTGACTTTGCCATTTGCTATTTTTAGGTCAGTTTGGTATCAGTCACATGCTTATTTCTAATGCAGCCTGCAACTTACCAGAAAGAGGATGTGAACGCCTCCTTAAAGCTTCCATGTAGCTTTCTGAGCACTGTTCATTCAGTCTTCTGTTATTCATTCATTTATTCAAAAAATATTTCTTGAATGGCAGGTTCTGGAATACAGCAGTGAAACAGACAGAAAGCTCACAGCTACCTTTCCACAAGTAGAGAACTCTCTCCTCCCTGCAGTGCTGTTTACACCGAAAGTGGCCTCTGTGTGTGCACCCAAATGTGTGACTCTGCCATTACTACTTTTTTTCCAATCAGGATTTTCCTACTCTACACTCCTTTTCTGCCTGACCCCTGCCTTTGAAGCCCACCAGGGAGGCCAGATCCGCTCTGGACAAAGCCTCTGAAATGTCTACTTGCCCTACAGTAGCAGAGGTTGAGGGATGGGCTTGGGAGAGCCACCACACCCAAGCCTCCACACAGTGCCCTGTCCACGCTGGAGCCCAGACTTTCCCATCCCCTCTTTCCCATACCCCACCTTCCAGTCCTTAGCCCATCATCTGTGTTAGCCATATACAGCCTCTGCCCTCTGTGGCCACCCTGCAGGACTTCCGCATGGCCTCCAGCATACCTTCAGCCCCCACCTTCACCCCATCCCCATCTTGAGAGTCTCTATTTTTGGATGCAGCCTCCGGTCCCAGCCTGGCCTAGCCCCTCTACTGGGCAACTCCAGTCTGTCCTCATCCCCATTGCAGATGTGGCTTACAGATCAGAAGGGAGTGGGATTTCATGACAAGGGTCCTGCCTAGATGGAACCCAGCCCTGGCCTCTGGGTTCTGATGGGCTGACTCACACCACTCAGCCCAGATAAACCTGTGGGGTCTAGGCTGCCCGCTGCCGGATGCCCAGGGTTGCTATGGCGACCCTCTGCCAGTCTTCCCTGCATGGAGACAATCAAAAAATAATAGCAAGGACTATTTTATTCTGTGTCCCACCTGGGAGCCATTTAAGCCTCCTCACTCCTTTTGACACATAATACTTTTTTTTTTTTGCTTTTAAGATTATTTCTTCTCTTCCCCCTCACTCCAAACCTCTGTGGCGAAGTCTCTGAGAGCCTCGAGTCCTAAAAACGTACACACACACACACACACACACACATGCACACACACACACACATGCTGTGCACATGCTCACACACCAGACGTAGACATCAAACGGCTGCCCCGGTGCTTGTTAATTGGCAACAAAGCCCCACAGCCAGTCACGCACCTTCACCTCACATTGTTCACCGCTTTGCAGTTTGCAAAGCCCTTTCACCTCTGAGCTCGTGTGAGAACGTGTGGGTGGTATTTATCTCCTCTCCGCTTTTCCACATGAGAAGGCTGAGGCTGAGGATTTGGGGGCCACTGGCCAGAGTTACCCAGTGGCTGGGTGGACCTGGACCTGTCTTGCTGGCACTCGAGTTCCGTTTTGCCATAGCCAACCCCCTGGGATGATAGAGTTGGCGGTAGGAGTGGGGTGGAAAGGTCTCCACCCTTTTATCATCTCCACCCTCCCCTTGGTGGCCATCACCTGCCCAGCCATGAGCAGTGTTGGGGGCGCCGCACACTGGGGGCAGCCTGTGGGAATGCAGCCTGGGCAAGAGTCCTGCCTGCCACGCTGGATTCCAGAGCCCCTAACTACTCTCTGGGTTCCTTTGGTTTCTGCCCTCCAGCTAGAGACCATCCCCAGTACCCCCAGCCCCAGCTGACCCAGCTTTCTACCCTGACCCAGAAGCCAGAGGGCCATACCCCTCAGCTCCTTCCTGTGCCCCTTTCCTCCTCCAAATTGCTCTCTTCTTTCCACATGGTACCCCTGAATCTTTGCTCTCCTGGTGCCTGGGTGGAATTGACCCTGCTGCTTCTCCATGGTTACTTCACCTCTGATGGTCGGTCCCATATTACAGATTCACGTGGGTATCTGTCTCAGCCTTACATTTGTACTACACACAGGCATTTCTGCTGACTGCACATGTGTGCATTTCCGTCAGCCACATGTATCTTTCGTAAAGTCCTCTTATCAAAGAATGGTCATGTACGTTGTACACAGGCGTCAACACCCAACAGTTGAATTTATGAACATTTACATAGGCCTAGAACATTCGCATTTATGTGACCATGTGAGTTCCTATTAAAACACATTTACAGTACGCAGCCAAGGACGGCTGTGGGTTTGCAGATGATACAGACTGCTCACCTGTGTCCCCATTGTGTCTAGTCCGAATGGTCTTTCTTAGCTTGGAGGATTAAGGGTCATTTTTTGGATGTGTCTGAAAGGCACTTCTCTATGCTTGGACTTGGGGGGTTCCACAGACCAGGACCCACAATGGCATGTGCAGAGCTGAGGGGTTCTGGGATGTGCGTACAGGATTCCTGGAGGCCACTGGGGTGTGTGGCTGCAGGTTTGAGACCAAGGCCCGGGTGCCTATTATCTCTCTCCTTGGGAACTCTGTTTAGCAGGGCAGCAGGGAGGAGACTGGGGTCCCAGAAGATCAGGGGGGCCTGCCTGAAGTCTCCAGCCCTGGAGAACAGGGTGAACAAGGGGTGACCCTTGGGAAATTCGTGTGCCCTGGGCCATCATGGCTGAGTCAGTGTGGTCCTGGGGGCCTCATTTATCCTACCTAGGGCTCCCCTTTCATACCAGGGTCTCTGAGGCCCAAAGAGGTCAGGCCAGAGGCTGAGACAAGCTGGGCCTGGCTCTCTGTCCCCCTTGGCCACACGCTGGGGCCAGGATCAGGCTGGGTTTGCTGTGGCTAGAACTGCTGTTGAAGGTTATTTTGGCAGCTGTCAACATGGGAGTAGAACCCAGGCTTGGAGTAAGGTGGACAGATGTGGGTTCAGGTCTCAGCCCCACCACTTTCCAGCCAGCTGGGGAGGAGGAAGGCGTGCAGCTGACACAGTGGCCCTGTACGGATGCATGTGTGGATGTTGCCACTCTGCTGGCCGGGCTGTGTGACAGTAGTTGGGCTAATGACTTCCCTTCTCTGAGCCTCAGTTTTTCCCTCTGTGCAATGTTGCCATAAGGGATCTGCCTCCCAGGTTTATTGCATGTGAAGTGTCTAGCACAGCGCCTGGCATGCAGACAGCGTGCCATCAATGCTAACTCTTACGGTTAATATTAACATTGTCATTATTATTGTATCTGGGTGATCATGGGACTCAGTCTCCTCATCTGTAAAATGGGGTTAATGATGATACTGAGGGCCCCAGCTGCCCACACCTGATACCAAAGTCCTCCCCTCTTACCACCCTCTCTCCCTGGCTGCTGTCTGACTGCCCTGTCTTTCCCAAATGCCTCAGGGCAGAGCCCAGAGAGAGGGAGGAAAGAAGGAGGCAAGGAGATAGATATCTCACCATCCGTCCATCAGTTAGCAATGGTGGCACCAATTTTCATAGAGAAGGAGAATGTGCAATGTAACCAAAAAAATACTTCCTCGGTGACTCTAGCAGCCCAGCTGTTGCCTTCCAGGGAAAGTGCTGAGGGCTGAAAAGAAAATAAAGGGAACAATCAGAGAGGGATAAGGAAAGAAGAGAGGGCGGGGTGGGAGAGAAGGGCATGGGTGGGGAGCACAGAGGGTGCACGGTGTACCAGGGCCTTTCCCATGCTGCCTGGAACAGCACTCAGCAAGGTTGCCTGGAACAGCACTCAGCAAGGCTGCCACTGACCCAGCCCCTGCTCTGACCTTCCAGCTGCCAGCGTGCTCACCCTGCAGGAACCTGGGGTCAAAGTGAAGGAAGGCGGTTGTGATCCTCAGCACTGTAACTGTGCAGACCCCACTTTGTCCAGCCTCCACACACTACACCTGCCATTCCCTTCTGGAATGTGTGACCCCCTCTCTGCCCGTCAGCATCCTACCACTCCTCCAAGACGGTCTCCTCCAGGGAGTCCCCTGGGATTCCATTCCCCCACCTCCCCCAGCTTCCATTCCCTTCTCTTCCAGCTCTGACCCCAGTGCTCGGGTCAGATCTTTGTGTAAGCTGGGTCTGCCTCTCCCCAAGACTGTGCTCTGGCAGACTGATCCTTTCATCCCTGGCTTCCTCATATCTCCTGTCAGGGGCAGGACAGCCCAGGGGGCATAACCAGACCTGATCCTAGAGCCACCCTGCAAGTGGACCAAAGAGCTCCAAGTCCCCCACCCCTCACCCACCCAGCCCCAAGCCCTCCTGCACCTCCATACTCTTTAGCTAGAGAACACCGGGCACCCGTCCCAGCTCTGCCGCTCACTTCACTGTGACCTTGGGTGAGCTCTGTAGCCTCCCCATGCCCCTGTGTCCTCCCTTGTAGAGTGGGGTTACTCACAGAACCTTCCTCATAGGGCCACTGAGAGAATGACATGAGTAAGTGTCTGCTGACCCAGGGGAAAGGCGTAGATATCAGACATGACGACCATTTCCCAGGCTCTGTGGTGAGGGTCTGCCTCCTTTCTGGGCCCAGTTTAGAAGAGCCCACCCTCCCTGGATGTCAGCTAATCCTGCCCAGTCACTTCTGAGTATCAAAGCTCCTATCCCTTCCTGGGTGCTTCTGGGGACAGAGAAGCCCAGCTTGTGGGGATGGAGATGGACAATCATCAGGGCAGACCCTGGCAGGGGACAAGGTGGGTTTGTGCTCTGCCACATCTGCCCCAGAAGAGAGGTTGGCCGTCCCCTGGTCTGTCCCTCTCGGAAGTGGGGAACCCCAGCTTCCTGCCTGTGTGTGCCCCACCTGCTTACAGACTTGTGACCTGTATTTGGGGTGCAGAGAGGAGGGAAGAATCTATCAGTTGTAGCAGAGTCTCCCTCCTCTCACCTTCCCTGCCCCCTAGCCCTCTGGGTCACCATGACAGAGGGGTGCTGGGAGGCAGGACTCCTGTGGGGACGAAGCCAGAGGGTACGGTGTGGGTGCTGTATCCAGGCTGGACAGGCACCTCCATGTAGGCCCAGGTCCCCCGCCCGCTGCTGTGTGGCAGGGTGGGGTGGAGTCCCTTACAGGCCACGTGCCTGGATGAGGCACATTTCCTTGACGTGCAGCTAGACGCAGGCGGGGACCATCACTGCCTTTCCTGACTATTTTACTACTTTACTGGGCCCAGAAGGTGGGGCAGGGGTGTGGCTGTATCTGCCCCTTGGCAGCTGGGTGTCTGTTCCACCATACGCCACTGGGCTCATACCGAACGAAGCCCCTTCAGCCACCCTTTATCTCACCCACTCCCCAGCCCCTAAATGAGGCAGAGACCATCCCTGCTTTGCAGATGGAGAAACTGAGGCCTGCTCATGCACTTGCTTATTCACGGGACTCACCCTGGGCTGCCAGCCACACTGAGGCCACCTGCGCCCACAGGCAGTGGAGGTGTGCTTGGGATCTTATAGCCCTGGTCTGTCCCCTTCATGCCTGAGTAAGGCTGGCTAATGTCCACCACAAAGGGAGAATTACCAGCAAGGCCTTGAGCTTTGCTCCTGTTTACACTTCAGCTCCCAGTGTACTCTGCTGGCTTCAGGAAAGGCCGCCAGCCCTTCTAGAGTGGGTCTGGAGCCAGCCCTCTGGGGGGACCGGGAAGATGGGTGTGGGTTGCAGAGTGCAGGCAGGTGTGGAACTGAGACCCACGGACGCAGCAACCCTGTGTTCACCGGTCAGAGACCCACTGGCCTAGGGATGGGAGGACGGACACAGTAGCCCCGAATTTGTTCACAATGCTTTCCACACTTCAGGCATTAGCTGGCATTTATCTTTAGCCATGAGGCATGCACGCCCACCCTCCCCCTCTACCTTCAGCACGTTAAGTAAATGTGGGAACTCTGCTGCCAAGATTAAGCGTAGAAAGAGAGCCGGGTACTGGTCTGCTGAGCAGCCTTGGTAGCTCTGGGAGAGGTAGTGCAGAGGCGTTGGCCTCAGGGCTGTGTCTCCACCCCATCCCACCCACCCCACTGTGTGCCCTGGGGCTCCTGCCCCAGCGTCTTGGGCTGGGATGTGTGGGGTCCTTGCAAGCCAGCTGACCAGGTCTCCTTCCTCCCGGTGCCCTCAGCCCCTGGTGTGGGGGTATGAGCAGTGCTCCCTGCACCGCCCGCTCTGAGTGTGTATGTTTGCGAGGAGGGGTGTCTGGAAGTGCAGAGGGGGTCCACAGCCCGTGAGTCACCGGGAACTTCCTGAGAGCGCTCCAGGCCTCTCTCCACGCTCCTGATGAGCCACCGCCACCGTGCAGGTATTTATGGCTGGTTTTCACGCCCCAGCAGGTGGTGTGAACACTGTGTCTGAGTGTAAATGCCCATGTTTGGACTGGAGAGTGTGGGGAGCCCTCCCATCATCTGGGGCCTTCTAGATCTCTCCAGCTCAGGCTGCTGGCCTGAGCCACATCGTTTATCCCATGGAGGAGAGCCCACCCAGGGGCCTCCATCCAACCCCAAACCACTCACCACCAGGGCTAGGCCTGGCTGATGGTCCTGGGTCCATTAGCGAAACTTATGTCACCTCTCTTAGCCCCAATTTTCTCATCTGTGAAATGGGCACAGCTGCCGCCTCTGCGTTTGCTGGAGGGATGAGGGAGCCAGCCAGCGCTGTGTCCCCCAGCTTCCAAAGTGGCCAGTGAGAGGCCGACCCGGTCTCAGCCCTGCTCTGGGGCCCATTTCCGGTCATACCCTGGGTCCACGTCCTGGGTTCTGTCTTGCTCTCCTGGTGTTGCCAGCGCCTCCACCAATGCCATCCGTATTTTCCAGGTGATGGAAATACTGCAGGCAGGTGGGGGGCTCAGAAGCAGCAGATAGATGCTCAAGCCTGTCTGGGGACCCCTGAAACCAGGGTACTCCTCCTCAGCCACCTCCCCCACAGGCTCAGGGCAGCCATGTTGACAGGGTTGTGCTTCCAGGACAGCCTGGGCAGAGAAAGGCTCGAGAGACGGTGCAGACCAGGCACAGCTGTGGCTCTTCCTGCACAGCTGGGAAGCCCTGAATGGGGGCCCGGGTGTTTTGCCTGTGGACTGATGAAGGAACTGCAGCAAAGTCCCACTTGAGACACCTGCCCTGACACACACGACAGAAACACCACACAGGTTTAACATGACACATGCCACACAGATCTACAACACAACACAGCTACGTATACCTCAACTCCCCCAAAATAGCTATACTCGCAAAGCAGACACGAATGCCCCAGCTAGACTCACGGTCACAAGGGCTGTCCCCTGGAGGGCTTGTGAGTGCCAGGCCCTGCCCCGAGGCTCTGATGGCTTCTCCTGGAGCCTCCTCACTACTCTGTGGAGCAGGCGCCACATTCAGGAGTGAGGGCGGAGAGGGGAGGGACTTGCCTAGTGCTCTGCCCAGAGTCCACATTCCAGGAGGTTCTTGAGCCATTGCACCCTGATTTCCCCATTTTCTGCCATCACCCCCTGGCCCATCCCATGCTGGAGTGGGATGAGGAGGGGATGAAAAGCGTCGACCCTGGAGACAGTATCAGACTCTTGGGAAGGAAGTTTTCCCTGGGGCTTGCTGCCCCTGCACCAGGGCTGCGACTGCCGATCTCTACAGGGTAAGCCCTGAATCGTGGTGCTGGGGTGACCACCTTCACATGGCCACTCCCGCATGTGATGAGGGAGTTTGTGAGACAATTTGCCCGTAATCAAAGGGATGGCATGCCTAAGAATGGCAGGGAAAGGGCAGGAGGCCCTGGAGCCAGAAGGGCCCCTGTGGAAGCTCCACAAGCCTGAGGCTCCCAGCCTTCCCTCCTGCCATCCAACCCCAACGCCCCTCTCTGCCCTCCATGTGACTAGACGATTGCTGGTGTCCCAGCAGCCCTTGTCAAGATTTGACCTAGACTGGGAGGGGAGAGGGTGCTTCCTACTGTGGGCCTTCCTACCCTGAGGTTTGCCTCTGCCCCCAGTCCTGCCCCAGGGCCCCTGGGTCTCCCCTGTCCTCTTGGACAGCCCTGCTCTCCTGCCTGGTTGAGCCCACACAGCCGTCCTGCTCCCAGAACCATCCAGGTGGCCTGAAAGACATCTCCATCCCCTTTCTGACCAGGCCACCCCAGCTGCCCCCACCCTAATAAGCGGGTGACAGACAGGCAGGTGTCCAGGGCACGGGGAGTTCTTGGGCAGTAGGAGAGCTCCTGGGAACACCACACCACCACACTACAGCAGCTGTCAGAGGGTGTGCTGAGTGTGAGTCTCCGCCTCCTCCCAGGGCTGAGTCCAGCGGTGTGGGGAAAGGCCCAGGCTCCACCCACTTCCTTGCTCACTTGCTGCGTGGCCTCTGGCAGCTAAGGCGCCTCTCTGTGCATCAGCAAAAGAGGCCTCGGTGGGATAGACCAAGGCCACTTATCTGCACAAGTGAGATAAGGGGTACAGAGAGGACCCCTGGGAGAATAGGCTCAAAGCGTATTTGATAAGAATTTTTGGGATTCCCTCCTTTCCTCTGGGAAAAGGAAACCCCTTGCAGAAGTCATGCCCCGCTGGGGGATTTCAGGACTGGGAGAGGAGCCTGCCTGCTGCCCAGGCCTAAGTGATGGTCCCAGCCTTGCTCCTCGTGTGGCATGAAGCAGGTTATGGGGGCTATGAAGGGTTTCCTAGGGCCAGGTTGGAGAGAGGGGCACCTTCCCTAGGCCTTGACTGTCCTCCTTGCCTTCGTGTGGCCTTTGGCAGAGCTGAGCACTCCATGAGCACCTAAGTGCCCAAATGAGGCTGGCTGGCTCCACCTCCTGGAAAGGAACATGGCAGAGACTGCAGATCCCGAGCCTGAGGGAAAGTGGGCTTCTAAGCTCTTCACGTTGAGCAGCCAAAATGCCAACCTTCCCAGCTGTTCTTTCTCTCATCGTTCCTCCCTCTCCCCACACCTTGGGCCTCTCCCTGTTGGCAGCTCTGACTTCAGAGCCCTGCCTCTGTTTCCCTCCTCCGCTCCCTGGGGGTGGAGGTCTCCCGTGCGTGGTGAAGCCTAGGATGAACCAAGCCCTGGCACTGGACACCTGCCCCCTCCGCAGCTGTCTCCCTCCCACTCGTCCTGGGCTCAGGTCTTAATGGAGCAGAAACAGCCAGGCAGAGGGAAGCCTCATTAGGCCTGATCTAATTAGGTGCCCCTGAGATGGGATGGAAGGGGGAGGTGGAGAGCACCCCATTCATGAGGGCCTACTGTGCGCAAGAAATGTCACACACATATGCTCTTACAGCCCTTTCCACAATCGCTTCTCCGCCTTTTGGCTAAGATCAAGTGTAGTGTCTATTCTTATCGGAACCCTTCCCACAACCCTCCAAGATAGTCATGAGTATCCCCAGGTGGCATGAATGCAAATTGGCTCCAAGAGGGCAGGTGGTCCTGGGGGACAGAGGAGACCCAGAGACACAGAAAGCCAGAAACGGGGCTGTCTCCCAGGACCAGCCTTTGCACCTGCTGTTCTGCCTGGAATGCCAGCCTCTACCTCCTGTGTGCCTGACTGATCTCGACTCACCCTTTGACTTGCCCAGGATCTCTCTGCCAGCAGGTGGCTTCCCTGGGCAAGTCTGGCCCCGGTGTCTGTTCTTCCCAGCATCCCAGCTGGCCTCAGCCTATCAGGCTGGTGGGACCTCTGACATCCTCTTTCGCAGGTTTGTCCAGCTGCTGTCTGACACCACAGTGCTGGGACAGTCACAGCCCCGTTTCTGGGTCTCTGTGTCTCTGGGCCTCCTCTGTCTCCCAGGACCACCTGACTCCACAGTGGGTCAAGATGGTGGGAGATGGGTGTGGGACCAGCCAGGCTCTCAGCCTCCTACCACGCCCACCCCTCATCTGTCTCCTGCTGTAATCAGGGAGGGTGTGGGGGGAGCCCAGGCAGTGCCAAGAGGCTGGCCGCCCCTCCGTTAGTCTTAGCTAACAAGCTGTTTATGGGTGCGACATGACACCTGCTTTCTTCTTTATAACTTCAATAATTTATAGGCATATTAGCGGCCAAGCGGCTGCCCTGGGTCCCAGCCAGACGGGCTGGGGCGATGCAGCCGGGTGCCTCTGCCGATATTTACTCTCTCCCACCATCAATTATTAAGGAGCCCTCCCCTCCTTCATTTTTGCACATAATTACATGCACCATTATGGTTCAAACTCCCCTGCTCTTAATCTCTCTGGAGAAGGACCCAGCCTGCCCAACAGGACTGAGATGGCGTGGGGACCCACCAGCTGGAGAAGGTGGGCAGCCACCCAACTTGGGCGAGAGGTGTTGGCAGTCTCAGCCCAACAAACCCCTCTCAGCTGAGCTGGCACCTCCTTGGCCAGCAGGGGCATTCCTCAGGGCTGGCTGTCTCTCCCTCTACCCCAGGGCCCAGCCTTTGCACCTGCTGTTCTGCCTGGAACGCCAGCCTCCACCTCCTGTGTGCCTGACTGATCTCGACTCACCCTTTGATTTCAGCTTAGCCATTGCTTCCTCCGCGATGTCTGTCCTGCCTGCTGTGTGTATGCAGCCCCACCCCGTCTTCTCCCACCTCAGCCTGGGCCACACCAGGTTGTCTCTTGCCTGCCACACCATGGGCTTTGGGGCCCAGAGAAAACTGTGGCAAATGTTTGGCATTTGATGAATGAATGAATGAATGAATGAATGAGGAAATAAATGGATGGATGTCTCCGCCCATCTCACCACCAGTGAGCCCACTGAAGCATTTGCCTTCACCCTCCTCTTCCAGGAAGCCTGTCGCATTTGCGCCACCTCCTCCAGACTCCTCCAGATTCTCCTGGTCTGGGCTGAGATCCCTCAGTGGACACCAAGGCCTGGTTCCTCCATCTATGTCCTCAACACCCAACAGAGGACAGGTCAGAATGGAGGGAGGGCACATCCTGACAATCTCAGCAGTCAGTGTGACCTGGGGAAGTTGCTCCTGTTTCCTCACTGCTCACTGTTCAGTGAGAATAGTACCAGTCCCTACTTGACAGTGTGTGATTGAGACTTACATGAGATCATCTGCACAAGCACCTAGTATGTGACCTCGCATGCCATAGGCACTCAGGCAATATCCTCAACATCACCGTTGTCTGTGAATCGACCCCATGTGAAACGGAACCACACCGAATTACGTTGGGTTGAATTGTCCTACTTATACCTTCTCTTGTCCGCACTTCCTTGTTTTTAGTTTCCACTGCCATGCAGCTGGCACCAGGCGTGGCTCACAGGGTCTCTGCAAATATTGCAGATTGATGAATCAAGATGTTGCCAGTCTGTCAGGCCATACCTATCAAGGGAAAGGGGTATCTCCGAAGCCCCAGCCAGGGAGGTAACGTGGACTCCTCCACATTCATGACAGAGTGAGGAACCAGGCCCTGGCTTCCCACTAGACTGCAAAGCCCAGGAATAGCTCCCTGGATTCTGTGTGCCTCGGTTTCTTGTTCTGTAAGAAGGGTAATAACAGAAGGGAGCCCATAGCATTGCTGAGAGGATTGAGTGAGTTGCTGAGTGAGTAACACACTTAGAACCACCGTGCTGCTCTTGGTCTGGGGTTCAAAGTGTGGAGATCGGGATAGGCCTGACTCTGCCACCTCCCCTTCTCTTGCCCTAGAGGTGGCAGTTCCCTGGAATTGGTGTTGACCACTGTCCTGAATGTTTTTATACTTTTCCTATATTTGTAGGTATCCATTTTCAGCTGATAGGGTTTGGGCTTGTTTGTAAAGTTGATATAAATGGTGTGCCTCGCACATGTGTTTGTTTTCCCTCCGCATTGTGTTAATGAAATCACCCCTGCTAATGCAGGGGACTCCAGCACACCGTGTTCATTGCTGCATAGTATCTCACTGTATGAATGTACCGCGTTCTCTCTATTCCTTTTCCCACGATGGGCATTTAGAGCATTTCCTGTTTTTCACTGTAGCAAACAATCCCGCCAGGCGCGTCCCTCTGCTTGCCTTCTTGTGCTCATGCTTCAGGAACTCTGGGTCATACAGTGTGCATCTTTTTGCCTTTACTGGATAATCACAAGTTGTCCACCCCCCAAGAGCAGACACTTCACCTACCTTATCTCAATGCCCCTGCCTCACTGGGAGAAAGGAGTTACTATCCCATTTTACAGATGGAGCATATGTTTAGTTACCTATTTCTGCATAACAAATCACTCTGAAACTTAGCTTAAAACAGCAAATATTTATTACCTCCCCGTTTCCACCAGTTGGGAATCCAGGTGAGGCTTAGCTGGGTACCTCTACCTCTCACAAGGCTCCAATCTAGGCATCAGCCAGAGCTTCAGTCACCTCAAGGCTCAGCTCGGAGAGGAGCTGCATCCAAGCTCACTCGAGTGGCCATTGGAAGGTCTCGGGGCCTCATAGGGG